GAGATAATCAAGGAGAGAGAGACAAAAACTTCTTTGTCGCCCACAATGGTCGACGTCCACCGGAGGATGACCGGTCTCAACCCGGCACACATAGCCGGATTGCGCAGGTTATCTGCGCGAGCTGCTGCTCCGTCAACGCCTTCTGCGCTGCCAGTCCGTAACGGTCTCTTGTCTTTCTCCTCGTTGGCGGAGAAGGTCATAACCCATTTGAAGAATTCGGGGGTTCAGGTACAGGCGGGTCTATCCGACGCAGAGTTCGCCCGGGCAGAGGCCGAGTTCGGTTTCGCCTTCCCGCCGGACCTCAGCGCCATACTCTCCGCCGGCTTGCCTGTCGGTCCTGGCTTTCCCGACTGGCGTTCTCCCGGTGCTCGGCTTCACCTCCGTGCCTCCCTCGACCTCCCCATCGCCGCCATCTCCTTCCAAATCGCCCGGAACGCGCTCTGGTCCAAGTCGTGGGGGCCACGGCCATCGGACCCGGAAAAGGGTTTGCGGGTCGCGAGGAACGCTCTGAAGAGGGCTCCCCTCCTAGTGCCCATCTTCAACCATTGCTACATTCCCTGTAACCCGTCCTTGGCGGGCAATCCGATTTTCTTCATCGACGAGAATAGAATCTTCTGTTGCGGTTTGGATCTGTCCGATTTCTTCGAACGCGAGTCGCTATTCCGGAGCTCCGAAACGGATCCACTGCTACTCAAGAAGCAACGCTCGGTGAGTGAAAAAAGTGCGGGGTCATCTTCAAATTTCTCTCGTACAAGTTTGGATGCGGGCGCGGTATCCGGAACCAGAACCCCGAGATGGGTGGAGTTCTGGAGTGACGCAGCCGTAGATCGCCGTCGTAGGAACTCGTCATCGTCGTCTTCTTCGTCGCCGGACAGATACTTGGAGATGCCCAGATCCGAAATCCCGAAATGGGTGGACGAGTACGTAGTGCAAATCGGGTCGGTTTTGAGGACAGGCGGATGGAGCGAATCCGACATAGAAGAGATCGTTCACGTGTCGGCCTCGGGGTTTTTCGAGGGAGAGATGATTATGTTGGATAATCAAGTCGTCCTGGACGCCCTGCTGTTGAAAGCGGATAGGTTTTCGGAGTCGCTGAGAAAAGCGGGGTGGAGCTCGGAGGAGGTGACGGAGGCGTTCGGATTTAATTTCCGACAGGAGAAGGAAAGGAAACCGGCTAAGAAGTTATCCCCCGAGCTAGTAGAGAAAATGGGCAAACTTGCCGAGTCGGTGTCCCGGTCATGATACGGCATAGAAAATAGAGATTCTTTTGCGCTTTTTTTCTTTTTTTTAAATAATTTATTTTTAAAACAATTTGAAGGCATCATTGATCGGTGTTTGCATATTTCCCTCTTTGGGGGTTAGTTAAAACTTGAAAACACAATTTATAAATTATAAAAAAATAAAATAAAATAAAATGTACAGCTGTATTTTTCTTTTTCAATATATATAATTTTTTATTATTCTTTTAATATAAAAATAATACTATTTTGGTGCGAACTGAAACTGGCTCACCTTTCCAAACGGGCAAACCGAGTGCACGTGTGTGTGTGTGTAACCACATCTTTCTTTTTTGAAGGCTGGACCGCGGAGCTCTCTCAATCAAGCAAAGAGAAGAAACTACGTCGTTTTTTGCTTTAAGAAATTTATAACAATTTGGTGGATTTTCTGGGGAAAACAAAAAAATCTTTGTGATTTTGATAACACGAGAGTGGTGGCAGGTGAAGTGAAAGAGAAATATCTCGTCTTTTGAGAGAGAATTTTTTCAATTTTTTTTGGAATTTGTGTAAAAGATAGTGAAAATGAAGTCCGGCGACACAGTAAAAACCTACGAGGTGTGAAGAGTTTTTTGGTTCTGCAATATTAAAAAACACAAAAAAGCAAAACTGTTTTACTTTAGTAGCAAATCTGTAAGAAGAAAATTTGAACGTGTATCACAACTAAACTGTACAGTTTTTTTTATTACTGTAGAATGATAATCACAGTGTAAAAAAAAAAGTAAAAGAAAATTCAAACCGAGCATACAAATTTGAAAGGAGGGTTGTAAGTATGATAATGGGGGAGCATCTCGGCGCAGATGGCACATGTGGAGGAGCGCGAGAAGAGTACGGATGATGAAAATTTGTGAGTCAAGTCAACCAATCAATGTTTTTGGGTTCTGTGTTCATATTTTTTCTTCCTTGAGGGGGGGGGGGGGGGGGGCGGAAATTAATCAACCAGTTGAATTAGATTATGGTGTTATTTCATTGGATGAGTACAAGTAGATGGCATCCTGGCCTATACGTATAAAATGTCCGCACGATAAGGGTGATTTTTTTGCAGGACGACCAAAAGACGAGAGAGCTTTTGGGGCTTTTTGTATGGATTCCATCTAAACTTTGATGATGCCGCCCTCAAAATTTCTTCCCTGTTTTTGTCAAATGACTAAACTACCAAAAACACATCAACCCTAACTTCCTATTTACTACAATGGTATAAGCCATGTCAAAAACCTCAGAGTTATTAGTGTAATAATTATAGTGTATATAACCTTAATAAATGTTAAGCGGACACAGCCCGCATTATAAACACAGAATAAATATATAAAATTTCCCAAGAAAAAAGAAAGCCCAAATCATTATTGTATTTTATCTTGGACGATGAGTCAGAAGGGAAAGCAATAACTGAAAATGGAGAGGCGGCAGATTGCAGAATCTCCGAACCAGAGAGAGAAAAGGCATTTAATGGCCAACGGTCATTCCGACTACCTCCAATCTTCCACCGCCATAACTCAACCGACCGTTGCTCCTCTCACGTGTCATCTCATCCATTTTCACGTGCCGCCACTCCTTTCTTTTCTTCGATTAAAATATAAATAAATAAATAAATAAATAAAACGTAATACCTGACCCCCCCCCCCCCCCCACCACCAAAAAAGAGAATGGGCTGAGCTCGGTTTTGTCTCCGATTCTCTCGACAAACCTGAAAATGAAGTCTCATGGAACCGATAACCTCACCCGCCTTCACCGTCCGCAATCAACAACGTCGGATCAAATCCTACCCCTCTGATTAATTTAATGATGTAGAAGCTTGGTGGGTCAGTCACTGATACGTGTGATGTCATAATTGCAAACCATACGACTTGTGAGCATAAAAAACATACATACATATATATATATATATATATACACATACGCGCGTAAATGGTGGGTTATGAGAGAGTTGAATCCCAGCTACCAAGTATCCACATACATGTACTTACGTTATTTGACTCTTGTAATTGGTTAAGTTATAAAAGTGACCATCTTTATTTTTTGCAATTATTGAGGCTCTGGTCCTGGTGTAACATTGTCAAACGGTACCATGTGGAATCTGCAATTTGGTCCCTCTTACTTTCCGAGTTAGGGAATCATGATCGTGGGTGGAAATTGTGTACAGCAGAAAATATACATATAACATAAACTAGGAAAATAATTGTTCAAAAGCTCTTCTTTGACAAAAAACTACAACTGGGTCCCGAATTGTCACTGAATTCTTAATTGCTTCCCTCTTCTCTACTCCGCAACAAAGTTTGCAGTACCAAAATCACCAATAATCTCAATGACAAACTTCCACCATTTCAAAAGCTTTATAACCCATCAACAAGTTTCATTATATACACATATGTATGTGTGTGTGTACGTACGTAGCACTGAAAGGCATTATATATACCCATTATCTTCTCTTGTCCTCTTCAAATCCAGGTTTTCTGACTCGTACAAAATGCATTTCTTGTGTTATCATCTCACTGTTATTGTCATACATATTGTACAAGTTGCAGCCTAAATTACTTTGCTGCTCCAAATAATTGCTGTACAAATTTCCGTGTTCCTCCAAAAACGATAAAATCAGTTCTTTTTTTTACACTTCCTGAAGTATTCCACCGTGTCTCTTCTCCTCCTCTGCACCTTTTGGAGTGGTTCTCATCACCTTAACGCGAAAGACGGCCTGCAAATTACTTGTTAGTTAAGCAATTATTATGGAAGAGTCTCGGGTCTAGTACGTGCATGTGTCAATTGTTGTTTTCCTGAAATTCATAGTACATACTCCAGAACCCACTTGTTTGAAAAGATATATTATGAGCATGGTGTAGTAGGGTTGTGAATGCTCCTGTCTATATGGCTGTTTCAACTTGTGTTTTCCAAAGAATAAAAAAGGTTTTGCTCAACCTGTTCAAAGAAAGTGTTGGCGTTTAAAAAATGTTTATCACCTTCTTATCAGAGCCAAACTCGATAGTATCAGATGGCCGGAATCGAGTAGGAAAATTAGGAGACACCTGGTACCTCCTTCCCTCGTTACTGTAAAGTAGAAAAAGTTAGAAAATTCAATGAAATTGTTTCTAGGACCAGAAAGATAAGTGTTCTATTAACTTACTTGGTGATATAGGTTCCGTGTTCACTTTGTAAATCAATGAGGAAGAAGGCACCGTCTTTATAGCTGATACAAGCATGGCTTTTGGAAACCTGACACAAAAGTTCAACAGGACACCTTTTTGTTACTTGACTTAAATCTTTCTCTAAGAAACTATTTTCATAGTAGATTAATAAAGATAACAGAAAACAGAACATCTGGGAAAACCTGAGGTGAAGGAATCACAATACAAGTTCCAGGAAAATCCTCCTTTGATTCACTCCTACAATCAAAATAGCATGTTAAGGATGATCTCATTTGTAACTATGCTGAGTAACTTTGCCATTATGTTTCTATCACAAAAATACGAATCTTCAATTAAATGCATACCCAACTATACAAGATCTATTCTCATCCCTATTCAAACAAATTGCTGTAGAAACAACATTGTCATTTCCTAATGGTAGTAAGAACCACCTGCAAAAGAAAGTATTAAATATACTATTAAATTAACAGACAGAAAAGAAGTGTATATATATATAGAGAAAATAAGTCGGGGAGGACATGAGTTTTCAATTATACATACTCTCCACTTATGGCTCGCTCAAGTGCATCATCATCTTCAAACCACCTAGGTAATTGGTCACTAGCCTTCAAAAATTGTCAAATAGTATTAGTAGCCAAGAACTTCAACAACTTCATAAATGTTACCCTGTACAAGGGCTATATTATGATGCAATAGCAAATTCTTGGGCAATGACATACCTTATCTGTGAGTCTGCAACACACAGACCTCCCTTCGAGATTCGAGCTGCAAAAGAAACATAAAATTCTTCATTTCAACTTAAATGAGTTTAGGAAGTCCTCAATTTATTTTAAGCATAATACTTCCTAGGGCTGTGTCCCACTTCCAATGCTTTTCATTTTTTAGAATCTAGAACTAGCCACTGGCTCAGAACTCAATGAAGATCTTTTATAATGTGAAATTTCTAATATGGCAAACTTTTCACATTTTGTAAAATAGCTTGAATTTCTCCAAAGATCAAAATTTAAGTTCCACACCAACTTTCAGCAACAGAAAGGAGAGAAAGGACGGGAAGAGGACTTCAAGATCTAACCTGTTACCTCCTAAAACCCAACTGAGCATCAAGGGCATAGCTATGTCAATAAAGAATCTCCCACCAACTCTTCCTGGATGTGGTATCCGAAACTTTGTCAAGAACTGCAAAACATATGATAGGAGAGAACGATTATACACAGAGAATCAAGCGGAGCATCAACCACATATCATAAATTATTTTTTATCTTATTATCAAAAGAGATTCCCACCGATAACGGACCAAGCCCTACACCCAAGTAAGCCTTGTAAGTTGAAGCCATAATAGCAGCCATTCTTGCCATTCCATGGATAATGGCAACTCGCAGTCTCCTGGATCTTTCATAGCTGCAGAGCATAATTGAGGTATGTGAGTCACCGATCAGAGTCAGTAGTGGCAGATGGTGACAGCATTGTCTTGTAACAAGATGCCATGTACAATTTTGGGGAGTCAATATTTTGGCGACAATCAGATAAGCATCGAATCCTATAACTGAAAACTTTTAAGATCACTTTAGTTTTGCAGAAATACATAACAGTCCAATTACCCATTTATGATTCTTGTAAATTCTAGGACACATTATGCATAGGCATTTTTTTCGAAGTTTATCCATACAAATCACCTCAACATATTCTTCCTTTCTGCATTTTATATCTGTACTGCTATAGTTCTTAGCAGAAAAACTGAGACGCCAACCTAGATTTGTTTTCTGGATTAGTTGAGCAGAAATTAAAATCTTACCTTTTTAGACAAGAAACAACATCAACAGGATTTCCTGACTCGACATTTTGTTTCCATGCTTTCTCAAGTTCCCATGCAAGCTGATAACTATCCTGGAGGAATTTGATCAGCACAAAGTTCAAAAAGTTTTCGCTCATGTATGAATTGACATTTTTTTTTCCTAGTCAACTGCTTCTGTACTGATGTGGAATTTAATCTAGATTACGAGAGAATAAGATATGCAGATATTCCTTATTACTCTTACAATTTGCAATATCAAAACAAATTAAAATTTTATAAGTCAATATTTATATGTGAGAGTGATCATCCCCACAGAATGATATTTGCGGTTTTTCCCCCAAAAAAGGAGTATCACTTGGGCATAGTGACTAAAAAGTATGGGTGATCCTTGGAGATAGCTACAGCTATCCAAAAGGGAGCAATCTTCATTGAAGTCAGGATAAAATGTAAAGGTAATATATTCTCAGAAGTAAAGTAATTACCAAGGTGAGAGTACAAGAATTGGTGACTAGTATATTGCTGACCATGGATGTTTATTTATAAAGGAGAATCAACCATGACCTCACCTGTGAAAGGGAGAGACTTGTTGATGTATGGAAAATCAAAAGATGAGAAAATTTAGGTTCGCTTTGGAACAAATCTAGAGTTTATTTGAAATTTCAATTAAAAGTCCAATCTTATTTTAACTAAGATTACAAATTCTCTTAGAAGATGATAAAAATTATGTTCGTAATTCTTTGTGGAATGGGAACTATGCACGTGAAAATTTTATTGAAGCTCATTTCTGTTCCTTTCGGTAGGATTTTTGCATGTTCTACTTAATATAAGTGTGAATCTGTAAACAAATTCTACATAAATTTTGGATTTCTAACACAAGCTTAAGGAGTTATATAAGAATATTGATACCATAGTAAATTTTGCAATCTTTACCTCGATAGCCATGCATCCACCTTGACCCATATTTGGCTGCATGGCATGGATAGAATCACCAAGCAATGTCACACGGCCTTTTCCCCAAGTTAAGGTTGGTGTTAGATCATAAATGTCACGTCGGAGGATTGCATCTTCATCTGTGGCACGTAACAAATCTATCACATTGTCACACCAACCCTCAAAAATTTTTAGCAACCTTTCCTTTTTACCTGCAAAATATCAAACATAAACAGAAAAGAAAATGAAAATGAAGTTATGCTGCTGTCACCGAGATTCAAATTGTTCCAAAATATGGGGAGTTTGGCACATCATTTTTTTCTAGCAGATGACTTCAAATATGATGCTTTCAGAGTCCAAAGAGTTGAATTTTAGAATGCGTTGCTAAGGTAGAAAACTAATATAGGGAAAAATACATTAAAAATCTTCAAATTTATACAAATTAAGACTTAAAACCCAGTTTGAACAACAAAACTCTGGATTTTACAAATTAAATGATAATTCTAATGGTGGAGATTACTGGCTAAATCATGAGATGGAAATGGTGAGCTAAATTGGATAGAAGGTTTAGTTTGTTTGACTGGTAAACCTCATTGTTTAATTGTTCAAACTAAAAAATAAGAATTTAAGTTGTCAACATATTTAAATCTCAATATTTTTACAATTTTCCCAAAAACATATATTCCAAGTGAATACAGATCAATATAGAAGGAAGGATATTTACCACGGGGACCATCCACTCCACCAGCCGGTTCATTGTGAAATGCATACCATTGCATCTTTCCTGCACCCACATCTGAAGAAACAAAGTATTGTTTGTGGCCCAAGAATACTCGGTACCTTCAAAGAAAAGAGCCAATATAAGCGTTAAATCATAATAAGCTCCAATCAATAAAGATAGGCAGTGACTGCTCCAAATTTTAGAAGGCATGAGATCAAAAAGTTTGTAAGGCATGCTATTCCCAAAGTAAAGCAGACCATACCCAACAGAATCAATATCGGCAGGTACAAAATCTGCAATGCCAGTGTAACAGGTGTAACCTGAATATGTGGCTTCCTTCGGTCCAAATAAGTTCTTTCTCACCTAATTAAGCCAGCAAACTTATCATCCTTAGATTTCACGGTTACAACAAAAACTAACTTGTCTAATAGAACCGATGCACAATCACACATTCAACAGTTCATATATCGTATGACATGATGCAAACTAGAAAAATACCTTCGACCGTATTCCATCAGCTCCAACTAGAAGGTCACCTTCATAGCGCTTTCCATTCTCAAGAATCACCGTAACCTAAATTTTAATATGATCAAAGTGCAAACAATTTCTCAAATTGATAATCAAGTGACAATCGTACAACAAATCAGTTTCCAAATGCATCTACTTTAATATGAAAAAAAAAAAAAAAAACAAATGAGTAAAATGTGTTCAGGCTCAAAATCTGAGTCAAGAATATTTTTAAACATTCGATATACTATATAACCTTATTTCCATCATCCTCAAAATCAACAACATTACTCTCGTTCATGATAAAATCTTCCCCAAGTCCACGAGCTAGAATTTGCTGCAAAGTCATTCGACTAATAACTCGTGTGACTGGAAGCCCTCGATCCACTGCAGGAGTGAATGTATCAAACTTGACGTACCTGACAACCATATCCATTGCTTAATGTGATGATAAGAATAACAAAAAATTGCCTCAAATAAGATGGTCAAACACAGAAATATTACCCTTGAAATCCTACCCAATTTCGGCAGGAAGGAAAAACTTCTTATTTTTATGTCAATAAGGAAATTTTTCTTACTTTGATGTTCTAAAAATGAAACACAGCATTTCTGATGTGAAAATTTATCAGGTAATCCGATATCGTATGAGAGTTGGAAGACCCATAAATGTAATAGGTTCATTTCAAATCCTGTTTTCTATGATTTTCAGATAAAGGTTTGAAATGAACCGATTGTGTTTACTTTTGTTGGTTGTTTCATATTTCTACTCATAGGTTATTCCAAATCATTGAGCTCGGAACACCTAACTGCCCTGCTGTTTTGTTGAAAATAAAAACAGAAATCTAAAAAGATATCCTTTTTAAATGCAGTTATCACTTCTAACATTTTCACTCTTTACTTTCTGATAAATACCTAAATTCACTTCCATTTTACTGTAGTTTCTGGTTTATTATTTGTTTTAGTTAGTAGTAACCAAGATTATACTGCTCTAATTAAGATTGAGACATGTGGATCTGTGAAAACCAAGCAAGATAATTCTAATTTGATCTTTCCATCAACTACTTTCATTCTTCTGCTTTTATATGTTTGAATAAATTAAGAATTATCTTCTTTACACTTAACTAGGTTGTTAAATAAGGCCTAAGTAGTTCATTCTACTTGAATAGCTTCTTATAAGCTTTTTATGCTTATACAAATAATTTATTTTCTTAATCAGAAAATACAAAGATTTGGAAAATTTTAAATTTGTCTTGAGCAAACAAACACAAACTGCGAGCTTCAGCAAGTAAAAGGAATTTCATCTCGCACACATCAATCAATTAACCACCGAAACAGATTTATGAAGCAAATAATCCAAAAAAAGAACTCACCAAGAACCAGAAACCCCATCAACAAGGCCATTAATCCGATCACCAGTAATACACCCAGCAGCCATAACTTCCTCTGCAACATCCAAATCAATGGCTTCCAATGCAGCCAGCGCATTGCTCTGTATCTGAATAGGACCCCTATATTGCCCCTCTCCTCTGACAGCACTCAGGTCCTTCTCAAACACCAACACCTCAAATCCCTTCCTCTTAGCCGCCAAAGCAAAAACCAGGCCCCCAATCCCTCCGCCGGCAACCAATATCGTCAGCTTCTTCTTCTCCTCGCACTGGCTCTCTTCAATCCTACCGCTACTCTCCTTCGTCTCCGTCACTGCGGCTTTCGCCTGCACCAGCCGCTTCTTCTGATGGCACGTTTTGCTTGTTAAATGGAAGCCATGCTGCGAACACGGCGGTGATTCAAGAAAGAAGCACTTGGAGATGGGAAGTGGGAAGTGGGTTCTTGAAAACATTGGTGTTGCTGTTGATGGGTTGATTGAGTTGCAGAGCAAAGACGCCATTTTATTAGTTTATGGAAAAAAAAACTAGGTCTGTTTACTTTATCTTTTTGGTGAGTGAGAGGTGTTTGGCTAACTGAGAAATGAAAGTGAGTCTCTTCAACTTCCCCTTGTATGAAAAGGAAGAAGAAAAGTACTTGCTCTGCGTATGGAATTGTAATATCAATTGGAAGAAGAAGAAGAAGAAAAGAATCAAAAATGGACTTACGATTGAAGGTGATGGCAAAACTGCCTGCTTACGTCTATATATAACTAGAATAATCATGTGCTGGTATAAATTATACATATACATATATATATATATATGTGGTTTGTTTTTGGGAGAAGGGTATAAAATCAAGACTATATTTAGGAGATAGCTGGGGAGAAATGTGGTGCACCAGTCATGGAGATTCCAGTGCCACGTGGCAGCAAATTCTCTTTCACCATACGAACCACACATGAACTTTATATAAAAAAAAATATCTGAAATTTACGTCTGTGGCGGTCGCTTTATTCTACAATTATATATATTTTTTTCTCAAAAAAAAAAAAAAGAAAATCATAAAATTGAAGAAAAAAGAAATTAAAAAAAATTGTTCGTATTATTTAACGAAAAAAGATTTGACCAAAATAATGCAATTAAGAGTGCGACAGTTGGTGTGATAAATATAAATTAGTATTAATTCAAATAATTCAACATTATCTTAAAATTAGAGAACAAAATTGACTCACCCCAATAATTCAATATTAAATATTTAGATATTTACATTATTTTAATGAACTATGCCACTATGATATTATATTAAATATTACATTAAATTAAATAACGTTTTTTTACATTAAACTTAATTGGGTTTCACAATTAATGGGCCGGGCCTGAAGCCCACATTTAAATTGTAAACCACGAGTCGTGTTATGTTGCTTTCCGCTAACCACGAAAGCAATTTAACCTTGATCACAGAAATTTATCTTCGTATTTCCAAAATTGGGATTTCTTGAATTTCTTAATTGAGAATGATTTTTTTGTACAAGCTGAAAACCATCATTTTCAATATTAAATAATTTTAACGTATCGGTTCGATACACACATACATATATATATATATATATATATATATATATATACACATTAATTAAATATCACTTTTCAATTATTACATAGATATAATTGAAACGTCAATATCCCATATACATATATATATATATATATATTCCATTTGTAACTATATTTTATGAATGATATTGTGAGGTGGTATATAGAATTAAGGTTAGTATATAATATAATATAATATATATATGTAGGTAGACCCAAACAAATAAACCCAATAATTTTTATCATCTTCATCATTTCGTTTCCGCTACCTTACAAATTTTCACATCCCCCCCCCCCCCCCCACTACTTTCATTTCTTCGTTTTTTATAAACCCTACTTCTGTCTTTATTTAATCCATTTTTTACTTTACAACTTATGTTATATCATACAGAGACTCAAAATTAGGGTAAGTTAAACTAATATCATTGGCCGGTGATTATCATTTTGCCCAGTCAAGTTAAAATTATTAGTAACACCAGAAGTCGGGATTTAATGAAGATTAGCGATAATCAATCGAAGCAAAGTAATAATTAACTGACGTTGGTACTTATTATAATAATTACAAAGTTCCAAAAATGGGAGGTCTTGAGCTGCAGCCAACAGTCATCATGTTAGTCTTTGCCTGCTGCAGGCCCTGCCAGCCCATCTCCAACCACTCTACGCTTTCTTTTTTCTGAACTTCCATCCTCTTATTACTCCATAAAGAACTAAGTTCTTACTAATACTATACATATATAGCAATATATATATATATATACTATTTGGGTTCGTCTCATAATACACATACATAAATATATATATATATATATATAATCTTTAAAGATACTAATAATGGAAGGGAGGGTAGTTGAAACTGGAAAGTAGTCTAAAGTTTGGATAAAAAGTAGATTGAGTTCTTGAGCTTTAAAATTTTAATCAAGTGGGAATGAGACAAAAATCTTAACTTGCTGATTTCATATAAACTACTGTCCTTCTTCTGTCAGTTTCACACGTGAGCATTTTTCTATACCTTTATAAATATATACATATATATATTTATATATTCAAATAAAACATAATATTATTTTTTAAAAAAAAAAATTAACCACATATAAAAAAAAAATGAAAACTAAAAATAAGAATTACAAATGTTATGTTGTGTCTTAAATTGGTGATTTATTCCATGCATATAAATTTTGTATTCTGATATTATATTGTAGGTATTGTGCACTAATTGGTTTAATATTAATTAAAATTTTATTATATTATATTTTTATTTTATTAAATTTTTTACAATTCTGAATACAATTATATAATATGTTTGCGTCTAGAAAAAGGAATTGTGGGTTTAAATTATAAATCTTTAAAACAATTAAAAAATTATAGAAGTTTGAAACAACAGTTCTCAAATAGAATAAAATCAATAATTAATCATTAATGAAAAAATTAACAATTAATAATCCTACTATATTAATTAATATAATAAAGTAGGTTGCCTTTGTATAATCATAATATATTACACAGGCGAAACGACAGGCAAGTCAGATTCTAATCTCGCAATCAAACAGCCTGTAGAAGGAGGGGGGAAAAAAAATTACTCCTGCCAGAAAGAAAAAAGTTGGAAACTTGGAAACAACGATATCAGCTGTTCATTAAGGAGGAGGAGGAGAAAATTAAAAACAAAAAAAAAAAGGAAGAAGAACGAGATCAGTTGCTTAAAAAATGAAATGAAAGGGAAAATGGAATGATGTTGAAAAGAAAATTTAAAAAAGAAAAAACCAGTTCCTAAAGATGTAATTTCCATGCTTCAATGTCGTGTTCTGGAACCATTCATGCTGCCATTCACGACCCTTGTCTCAATGCAAACAAACTCCGCATCCCAAAATCGGCGAAAAGAAAAATCGAAGCCAAAACCTCTTTGTTTTTCATCTGTCACACCCAGTAAAAATCACCTCTCAGAAAAACTTTGTCCTTTTTCTTTTTTCATAATTCGTCTTCTACCGTGTTCTTCAAGCGACAAAAATGTTAATTGTAGCTCATTGTGGCGAATAAACGGAGTGGAAAAAAAATAATAATAACAATCTAAGTCCACTTCGCAGATTTTGACAACGATGAGGAGAGGCTCTGTTTCTTCGCACAGTTTAGGGACATTCCCGAGCCCAGGAGCGCCAGATTATCGAGAGAATGGTGCTTTGAGTCAAAAGGGCTGGTGCTCAGAGCGAGTCCCGCACCCATCGAGCAGTAGTAGCAGGAGACATATCGGGTCGGCATCTGCCTTGACTACGCCGTTTTATGGTGGAAGAACGTTGCCCTCGAAGTGGGAAGATGCAGAGAGGTGGATTTGTAGTCCGGTTTCCGGCTACCCCGGCGGCGGTGGTGCTTACAAGAATCCTTCTTCGCATTCTCAGCTTGTCGTGCAGAGACGACTCAAGTCGAAAAGCGGCCCTATTATGCCACCGGGACTTGCTTATTATTCAAGCTGCTCGCCAGCTCTTCAGGTTCTCGAAGCCGGGAGCATGAGGAGTCTGATGGTGGGTTCGCCGTTTTCCACTGGGGTTTTGGTGGATGATAGGCTTTCCCTTTGTTATGGTGGCGCTGGTGGTGGCGGCAATATCGGCGGTGGGGAGGGTTGTGTGGCGAGGTTAGCTAGTTTGCCCTTCTGGTCAGATTTAGCCAGTGAAGCTTCCCTGCCAAGCCCTCAAGGTATAAGTTTTGAATGTTTTCCCTTCTGGGTATAACATTTTACCTTGCTTTTGGAAGTGGGATGACATAGTTTCTTGATCTATTTACGAAAGTTGCTTGCTTTCTTGTGTGATCTAATGATTATTTTCTGGGTTTATTACGCTTTTCCTCTTGCTTTGAAGCTTGGATAATATATAGTTTCATATATGGATTATCTGATTATGGAATTTAGTTCCTTGGGTGGATTTCTATTAGTCAAAAGTGGCATTTTAGCCATAGCTCATTAACCCATTGCCTCAGCAATCCACTTGATCACCCATTAATGGTGGATTCATAAGATAGTGATTGAAGGTGTTCCAGGAATGTTAGCAAAATCAAAGTAATGCTAGGAGGCAATTGTCTTTCTAAATTTGAGTCAGGATCATCTGGCCCTGAACTCAAAAGGTAAACAGAGAGTTTCAGTCTTATTGTGCAGCCATTGCTTGTGGGGACCGGGGAAAAATGGGTTTGCAACCAGTGGAGTGGCTCAATCAAAACAGCTGTCTTAGATGAAATGAATGTCATACGGATAGGAAAAGTAGCTTTTGAGGATGTAGATTTCACCTGAGAAAACAAGAGAACTTGACTCTTCCCTCTTTGTTCATTCACATTGCTCTCACTTTAAAAATAACTGGGGCATGAACTGAAACTTGTAAAATTATGTTGTGTATATTTCCTATCATCTTCGAAACTTTGAATCTGGTATTTACATATGGGAAGAAAAATTAAGTCGTAGGAGTCTTTAGTATCATGATAAAAGTTGGTGGCTACTACATTACAGAGAGTATGTTAATAGGAAGACAGAGGATTAATGTAATCTAAAACATAAGATATTGTATGTCATAACTTTTGGAGATATTTCTGTTTGTTCTTGTGTTTTCTGATGTTGAATTCTCAATAACTTCTACAGATGAGAAGACCGATGACATTAAAGAAGCAGAAATTGTGGTTTCTCCTGTGGTTTCCCGGAAGGATATGGCAACACAAATGAGTCCTGAGGATAGTGCTCCACCATCTCCAAGGGAGAGGTCTTCTTCTGCCTGTCCTTCACCTCCCCCTTCGGTCCTTTCCATTGTTGAGTTACAACAGGAACACCCTTCTAAGGTTGAGATCAAAGAAGTCCAAATCGACAAACGAGCCACCATGATTAGGTGGTCAAAAAGACATGCATCTAGAATTATCAAGAAAGGTTTGCCCGATATTGAGGATTTCCATAAGAGTAGTAGAAGAGCTTCTGCTTCTTCTTGGGATATTGCTGATGTAGCAACAAGTATCTCAAAGTACGTCTATTCACAAATTGGCTTTCTTTTATGTGTGGTTCATTAGGAGAGAATTTTCTGACACAAACACCACTCATAATGCGCTTTTCGTCTTGTTTCCACCTGAAATTTATGGAGGAGAGAACATGGATATCGAATTTTGATAAATCTCTTTTCTGATCAAATTAAAGCAGCTTCTTCTCTTGTCGTTTCTTCATTCACTTTAATAATATGAATCAAGTTTCTTTTTAGTAGTAAATATTTAGAAAATCTGGAGCTGGCTGCCGGCCGGGAAGGCTATCATTTTGGCGTAGTTACACTTACACGGAGACATTGGCCGGAGGCTGGTCATCATTTCTCTTGAACATTTTAATTGAAGGTGAATAGGCTTGTTGAAATGCCAAAGGACCTATTGAAAGGGTTGTTTAATCTGGTGTGCAGGTTACAAAGAGAGGAAGCCAAGATCAGTGCATGGGAAAATTTACAGAAGGCAAAAGCTGAGGCAGCCATTCGGAAACTTGAGGTCCATCCATTTATACTTTTTGAGCAAACATGGTTTTGCTCTTGTAGTTTAAGAGTAATTGCAGTAAAATCTTTGTAGTTGTTTTTTCTTTTTTTTGTGTGTATGAAAGTTCTGTTAATTAAGTGACTGCTTTACTCATCTTCTGTATTCGTCCAGATGGAATTGGAGAAGAAGAAATCAGCGTCGATGGATAAGATCTTGAAAAAGCTCAGAACAGCACAGATGAAAGCCCAAGAAATGAGAAGCTCAGTGTCAAATAGGCAGGAAGAACATCACACGGCAAAGAATTCCGAAAAACTTACATTTTTCCATAAGCATATTCAAATGAATCCTCTGAGGAGTTGCTTCACCTGTCATGCCATGTAGATTCTTGCATTCTCTTGAGGAAGAGCATCACACTGCAAAGAATTCCGAAAAGCTTACATTTTTCCATAAGCACATTCAAATGAATCCTCTGAGGAGTTGCTTCACCTGTCATGCTGTGTAGATTTCTT